CCACAGGGGAGTTCGGGGGAGATCCGAGGAGGGGGAATCCAGAGGGAGACCTGATGGGGGGATCCCAGTGGGATCCGAGTGGGAGGATCCGGGGGGGGGGACCCATGAGGGGAGTGGGAGCTCCTTGAGGAGGGGACGGGTCTCCCTGAGGAGGAGACACGGGGACCCCCCTGAGGAGGGGACGGGACCAAGCTGAGGAGGGAATGGGACCCCCTGAGGGGGACACGGGAGCCCCCTGAGGAGGGTTCGGGACTCTCGGGGTTCGCAACCGGCGGGACCGGGAAGGAGAGGGGGAAACTGAGGCGCACGCGGCGGGGGCGGGGCCGCGGCCGCCATTTTGTGTCGTCTTCAGAAATGGGACCGGCGCCATTTCCGCCCCCCCCCGCGCTCCCCTCAGGGAACAGCCCCCCCCCAGAGCGCCCGCCCAACCAATCAGCGGCGCCCCGTGGCTGAGCGACAGGGCGTTCAGCCAATCAGCGGCGCAAGCCCCTCACGGGAGGCGGGCGCAGCGCTTCCCGCAACGGCTGGGCGCCCCCCCCCCCGGGTTCTCCCGCCGGTAACGGAGCCAGCACTGAGGCAGCGGCGGGACGGAGCCGCCACCGCCCCGAGGGAGCGGCGGCGCCGCGGGGCCGCCCCGCACCTACCGCCGTATCCCGGCTCCATCGCCGCCTCCGCCTCCGCCCGGCGCCGCCGCACCGCTCGCCCGAGCGCCAACTGCGCACGCGCGCAGGGCCCGCCGCCCATTGGGCTCCTCAGCGGCGAGGGCCCGCCCACGAAGCTTCCCATTGGTGGAGCTCGCCCAGAGGCGCGGCCCGCCCGCCGCTCCCATTGGCCGGGCCGGCGGCCCTCCCCCGATGCGATTGGCGGAGGCGCTTCCTCCCCGGGGGGCCGCCGGCGCGCCCTCCTGTCAATCAGAGCCGTTCTCGCTCCTGATTGGGCGGCGGCGCGGGGCTCGCCCGGGGCCGGCGCTGAGGGGGAGGCGGGAGCCGCCATGGAGCCCCCGGGGCTGGGGCGGGAGAGACCCTAAACGGGACCCCATCGGGACCCAACTGACCTGAGGGCCGGCTGTGAACCCAGCCCCTCACAGCCATGGTGTCCCCGTCCCCTCAGTGACAATGT